CCGGAATTATATACAAATATTACAATTTATATTAATTTATTAACTTAACATTAATATTTTAACGTCTCGCCTAGTTTCACTAAGAAGAGATTAAATTTTAACTTTCCTCGATTTCCTTCGAAAACGGGTTTTTCCAGAAAGACGAATCGGCGGTGTATGAACGATAATAAATTAACATGTGTCATCTCGTCGATTGATTAAAGATATGCATATATGTTCGCACTGATTAAATCTTCGTACTCTGCACCCCGACGAGCTATCGTGCGAAAGATGACATAAGCTCGTTCATATGTGCGATCGATGATATGTTCCGAAGATCGCGAAGGTCGCGCGTGCGGTTATCTAGAGGTGCGCGTGGAATCCTTCATCATGACAGCCACGAGGATAATCGAGGCGTGGTTCATCGCGGTATCGATATCTCCTTACATTGACCTGCGCTAAATCGAGCGAATGAAAAGAGAGAGAGAGAGAATCGGTTGCGTTCTCCATATTCTGGATCAATGACCGAAGAAGTGCAATCTCCGACACTCGCACACATTTCAAGTACATTCGCGTGAACATGATGTTGCACTATGAACAGCTTCGATAGAAACTTATCAAAGTGCGAAAAATTTAGATAGTCTCGAGTGCGTCGCGATTATTACCGCCTTGAGCGAATTCAACGAACGTGTCTTAACACATACTTAATTACACAATTATATCGACGAAGCGGAAAGTTTTAAGAGAATTACAATGAGTCATGTTTTAATTTTCAACGGAATGCTTCCTCGCGAAACGATACACGTTGAGAAAAAATTACTGGTGTTAAGGGTAGAAGTATAATTTTTAAAAAATTCGAATTGAGAAATAGAATAAAATTTAATGAAGAATGTAGAAATGTTTTCGATGAAAGAGAAAATTTGAAAGACGATGAATGCGAATTTACTTCGGGCAAAGAAAAGATCGTATGGAGATAATCGTTTCGTACATTGAAATTCGACAGTACCTTTTACGAGGCTCTTACGCTGACGTCGCTTCAGCGCAAAATGCTAATAACGTGAAAATTCCATTTGTAGACAACGACTCGGGTTTTGGCGAGCCTAAGCGACTTGCCATTCGCTGGAGACGAATAGCGTTGTAAACTGAAACGAACGCGTTATATTCGTTCAAATGCGTAACGAAACCGATTCCATCTGCTGTGCGCATAAAGTGATCCGAGACTAGGAGTAATATCGTATAAATCAATTTCTGTCGGATAATCCAATTCCTAAAATTGTTTCGTGAACCTGGACGTAAAACACTTGATAAAGCATGACTAAATATTGATTATAACTGATAGGATGTTTTCTCGTACATTCTAACTTTTATCAAGTTGAAAAGAAAAGAGAGTAAATATAAAAAGAGAATACTTTATTCTCCTTCTCTTTATATTTCTCTATCGCTCTTGTTAACATCTGATAATCAAAAGAGATACATATTTTGTCTTTTTATCCGCATTGTGTTCTATTAAACACTTATTCTACTAGTGAATTTTAAATACATTATATTTTGCGATTGCGGTTTTCCTTTATTGTTTACTAAAGTAATTCCGTAAGAAATAGAAAAAAAGAATGCTGTTTCCACGAGGGATATTATGAGGGGAAGGGGAGATACATGCATTATTTGCAGAGATCATATTCAGAAAATAAACACTTAGATATCGTCTACTTTCGAATGTGGTTTTCCTTTTATTTGAACAGGTCCTTAGCGGACGGATAAAAATGTCCAAATGGATTAGATTTTGATTTTACATACACGTATTATGGAAATTAAGAAATATACAATAGTTTATATTTTTTACATGCTAGATCGTTAAAATAATATTTTCGCAAAAATGATTATATTGCGTTGATTATGTTACGATAGATATTTAATCTCTAGATTGTTTATTAAATATTGACTGTATTATATATGACTATGCTATAAATTCATTGAATATTGTTAAATATTGAATATTGTTAAATATTGTTAAATATTGAATATTGTTAAATATATCGCAATGAATAAATATTTATTATATATTCTTTCTCAATATGTTTGTAACATAAAAGCATACAAGTATGTTTTGGCTTTTAAAAAATTTAAGTTCCATTGGTTTCAATAATAATAATAAGGAAGGCTTATTTAAGGAAAGTGCAGGTGATATTACGTGATATAAAAATCTATAATTTTTAAAAAAACCAAATTCTAAAAATACAAACGTTTCGGTCCCTTTCGGACCCCCCTGACAAGAGTGACAATAATAAATTAATACAACATGTAAAAGAAATATAAAAATAAATAGATGAAAAATATGAAGCACTGTACAGATCAAATGATAAAATTGTTTGTGACAAGGAAGAATCTCCTTGTATCTGTTTCTTCGGTTATGATAAAATTTATTACACACACAATTTCACTTTGATAATCTTACTTTTCGAATTTTTTCTTATCGCACTCTACGCGCATCGATATGTGACCTCAATCGTTAATTAATGGCTAATTATTGCACATATTGAATATCAATTACATCGACACGATTGTCATATAGTATGTATAGTGTTCTTAATAATTTTATAATACTTCGTTAGCAGTTCGTGAATCACTAGTCATTTAAGAATTCGTGATTCTCCGCTTCACAAACTGCCAATTACGGGCTTCATTAAGTTCGCAAATATATTGTCGTGCGCGATGAATGCATTCGCGATTGAGATTAATTAGGTTTACACGTGTCGGTCGTCGCAAATTATGACTGTCCGAAATCTTGGAGCGACGCGCCAAATGACCAAATGACCCCAAAGATTTGATAAGAGAAGCAACGTCGATGAAGCAAAGTCATCGATCGGCACAATTCGCAAATTATGATGCAAGCGGCCGATTATGAGGCCGTTATTTCTTCGTGCGGCACGTAGATAGGTATTCATTGCGACGTTATAATCTGCACGAGCCGATCGACAAAATGTATTCGCGTCAGCGTATCCGAGTGCTAAGTAATGTTTTCAATCGCTATAAATTACTCTCAACGACACTTGTCCCTTATCAATATTGAATGTGCATTTCATTTTTCATCTTCGTATGGCGCAAGTAGCGCACAGACATTGAATTTGGTTGAATTACATTTATATATTAAATTTTATAGGCGTCTAATATTTCTACTTATTTTAACATAATTAATTTTAAAAATTAACTTCATTCTTTATAGGTATTTATTGCGACTTTATAATCTGCGCAAACCGATTTCTTTATTTTAGATTTGTTGTTTTTTATTAAACCTTTTTTCTTTTTACTTTTTATTTTATTACTTGTATAAATAAAAATGTGACATCGCAATGTTGCATTATGACATTATCTAAGAAATAGTAAATAAGTAAATAAGTAAATAAATAGTAAATAAATAGTAAATAAGAAATAGTAAATAAGTAAATAAGTAAATAGAAATAGTAAATAAGTAAATAAGTAAATAAAGAAATTCTCTAAGGGTATTCAATAATTTCTCGTAAAATTAATTGTATCAATTTATCTCTAACTTAAGCTTTAAACTAAATAAATTTGTTATAGTTTACTTTGATTGAGAGACTTAGATTACCGAATAATTTTTCATTCAATTTGAACCTTTGAAGTTTGAACTTGTGATGGTCAAGTGGAGTAGCGATATTAGATAAATTCAGGCACTGAGACAAACTTATTGACAAACTGAAGAAGCAGTCGAGATCGATAATACAGTGAAGCATCATATAGATTCATCTGCGCAATTGCCGATTTTTTAATTTTAGATTTGTTTTATATGAAAAATATTTAAATGCTTTATATATTATAAAGAATACATAATGTGTGTGTGTGCAGTTTCTGGCTAGTTAAATTGGCCAAAAATTGCATTTCTACTCGGGTTTAGATCCATCTGCGCAATCGAAATGACACTCCCAAGAAATAGAAGCAGCAAAACGATTTTCATAGATTCGCATACAGTTTTCCAAATAGTAGGGATAGGCGATGTATGGAAAAAAATCGATGCCAAATTAATAAATGTTTGAATACATCGATGATTTATCGATTTATAAAAAGTATCGATAAATCAATTATTTTTAAAAAAAACAATTTTTAATAGTAGAAATAGTTGAAAAGTCGATAATTTTACAGAAAAAGAAAGGAATAACGCAAATTAATGAATATAATTTATTTTATTTATTTCTTTGTTAAAAAAGTTTCCTATCAAAGTCAAATCTCCGAAATGCTGCAGTGCACTTTTGCTGTCGCTATAAATAATTTTCAAAAATTTCAGTTTCGAATGGAACGGATTATTCTTCTGAAGAATATAATAGTTACATTCTTCAGAGGAATGGCTGTGATTGGTCAATGACATCTAATAAACTACCTCGGAACGATTAATCCGTATCATTCGGAATTACTAGATAGAAAATAATTAAAAAAAACATTGATGTCTTACATAAATGATCGAGCATCGATGTATCGGATGAGAAAAAAACATCAAACAGATTAATTAAATGATCGGTTATTAGGAAAAAAAACTACCAATAACAACCATCTTGAGTAATCGGCAAGCATCGCCCATCCCTACCAAATAGCATCACGACACAACTCGGCACTCGGCGCGATCTGTCACATCGCGTCGCGGCGTCTGCGCGGACTCGCTCGCTAGCCGCATCCCCCACCGGGGTGGCCGAAGCTGGACACCTGCGGGGGGCCCGTGGTCCCCACCAACAATCCTAAGGCGAGAGGCCTCGTGGTCTTCGACCAACGGGGCCCGTGAGCGTAGAGTCCGCCCTCACATCCCCCAAAGAGGAAATAACCACCACCCTTGGAACGCGATCTACGTTCTACGCGATCCCCACCTGTTGCACTCCGAATCGCCCCCTCCCTCCGACGTCCTCGGTGTTTCCTCTCTCTCTGTGTCTGTCCGGCCACCCCTCCATTGTGCAAGGGACCGCCGGGGGACCGTAGCCTGATGAGTCACTATATAAGACAGGCAAGGACAAGAAGGTGTATGTTAGTACATACTCAATCCTTCCGTAGCTCGCACGGTTCACTTCGTGACGAGTGGCGGAGAATTCGGCTGCGGTGTGTGACCGACTTTTTTTTCTCTCTCTCTCTCTCTCTCTTCTTCTTTTCCTCCTACTTCTTTTCCTTCTCTTCGTTCCTTCCTCTATTATCGCTCCCTTCTCTCTGTCCCGAAAATTGTTCGTTATCACCTTGCGTCTTTCGGGACCTCCCTCTTCCCAGTACACGCCTTTAATCGAGTAAAATAGTTATCTTACCGCGCGCGGACGTATTGTTTATTTCTCTCGCGACAACAGTCATCGCAACATCGAATAGAGTCGGAGGAACATAGTCCGCGGGAAACGGGAGACCATATTTCAGAAAAGAAGACGAAATTGTGCTTTATCTTTCTTTTATCGAGAGAGACTTTAAAAGAGATATACAGACCGAGATATAAAGACAGAGACTTTATATGATACATACAGTCAGTGGTAACCACTCGTTACGACACGTTACGAGTGCTTCGAATTTCGATCGATCGCTCGAACTCAACATGCTAGAGTATCCATTGATGCAGGCGAGCTGGCACGAGATGGGGAAGATCGATATAGTTTATATCCTTGTCGAATTCAGCAGTGTTTTCCTATTTGTGCGGTTGTTTATTAATTGGATCAAGTACATCTGCTCTTTACCGCCCGGTCCTTGGGGGTTGCCGTTGGTAGGCTACCTGCCCTTCATAAACGGCAGTGACCTTCATCTGCAGTACTGCGAGATGGCCCAAAAGTACGGCCCGATATTCTGCGCTCGTTTGGGTAATCAGCTGGTCGTCGTCGTCAGTGATTATCGAATCATACGCGATATGTTTAGACGCGAGGAATTCACCGGCAGGCCGCACATCGAGTTCACCAACATCCTCGACGGATATGGTAAGTGTCGAGCGCAGCAGATTCCGATAATACGCTTTATCTCGCGACTTTCGCATGCTTTCGTATCATCCGAGGCAGAGGGAAGGAGGTTAAAGCACTCTGCGCGCGGCTCGCTTGTCTTTCGCGCGAATTCACGTTCTGTCGGATTTATCAAAAATTATAATTTATTCCTCGCCGCCGATATTCGCCGAAATATTTTCCTCGATTAAACGCTCGACGAAATATTTGCGATAACAAACTTGTGAAATCTTTCGAGCAATCGTTTCTCACATTCTTGGATTTACTTTTTTGATCCATCGCGGATTTCTTTTCGATCAAATTTGAGCTTTAAAATGATGAAATCGTATACTGCGGACAGATCGGTACCGCATTGCGAATAACGAACCGAGTTAATCGTGGATAGTCGAGTTGCGATTCAGCATCGTTCATGTTGCTGTTGCAGGCATCGTCAATACGGAGGGTGCCTTGTGGAAGGATCAGAGGAGATTTCTTCACAACAAGCTTAGATGCTTCGGGATGACGAACCTCTCCGCTAAAAATAAAAGTTTGGAATCGAAAATTATGGTGAGTACCAAAAAATTCGTATTAATTAATCGCGCAATCTGTCAATTTGTCTCATTCGATGAATATTGCATAAAACACGAGAAATTTTTGTTCCGTTATTTTTTATAGATTTTCGTATACTTAAGATAATTACTAATTCGATTACTTAAGATAATATTCATTTTTACGTATCTGTAATTAAAAAAAACATTATACACGCTTCTTAGCGATACTATGATCAATGAATCTTGTGCCTAATATTAATAATATAATAATGTAAGATTTTTAAATTTACGATGTCGAGAAATTTTTTTAAATTGCACAAGATAAAAACAAAAAATTTTCTACAAAATTTAATTCTCGAAATAAACGATTGTAATATTTTGATTTAGAACGAAGTTGTTACGTTTTTGCGGGGGTTGGCGGTACGACATGGGACGCCCATAAACATCTCGCTTCCCCTCGGTATGTCGATCAGTAACGTGATCTGCACGCTCTTAATGGGAATGCGTTTCCATCACAGCGAATGGCGATTCAAAAGATTCATGGCTCTCATCGAGGAAGGATTCAAGTACTTCGCCAAGATAGCACTCATCAACTATCTATGGCCTTTCATCAACTATCTATTGCGTTTCTTACCTTGCATGCAAGTCACTAGAAACAAGATCTCGCAGAATCGGGCGGAAATGGCAAATTTCTTTCAAGAGACTATCGATCAGCACAGAGCAACGTTCAACAGGAACAACGTGCGCGATATCGTGGACACTTATTTGCTCGAGATTGAGCAAGCCAAGGAGGAAGGACGGGAGGAACAGCTTTTCGAAGGAAAAAACCATGGTAAGAAATCGATGTTTCTCTTTACCGCTATTTCTTTTTTTATCATATTAAATTTATTGTATTAAATTTATATTATTTATTATATTAAATTTACTATATTAAATTTATACTAAATTTATTATATTGATTCATCTTCGTTGATAATGCTAGCGCTTCTTTAAAATACTGTTTTTTTTTCTCTCATATAGATCGTCAGATGCAGCAGATTTTGGGCGATCTCTTCTCTGCTGGTATGGAAACGGTGAAAACTACTCTGGAGTGGGCGGTGATTTTCATGTTGCACTATCCGAAGGCAGCAAAAGCGGTGCAAAGGGAATTGGACGAGGTCGTAGGAAGAGCTAGAATGCCCACATTGGAGGATCTCCCCTTCCTTCCGATCACCGAGGCAACGATTCTAGAGATTCTTCGCAAATCCAGTATCGTCCCGCTTGGAACCACGCACGCCACCACACGGTAAAATTAATTTCCCGCATAATTGAGCTTTTATTTCCTTGCAATGCGTCTTGTAATTCTTCGTTTCTCGTCATCTATTTTTTTTATCTGATTTATCTTACGCGCGGACGCACGCCCTTTCCCTTTCTCTCTACTTACATGAGCTAAGAGCGGATTTCACAACGAGTCCTCGCCTTCTTCCTCAGACGGCTTTCCGTGTCTGGCATATCAGAATCTCGCGATCATTTTGGACGATTATATTCGGCAAGCAAAAGTGAAAGCAAAGGTGCGTGGCCCCTCTGTCTGCTTTTCGGCCGGGCCGCCCCGCCTTCGGTTCGAAGCGGCTTCGAGAGGTCGACGACACCGTTAATCGTACGGACAAAGAATCTATTCCTACAGCTAGCAAGTGTATTCGACTCGCGATATATCGAGAATAACTCGTTAGGAATGATCGCGCATGAAAGCAATGGCCGCCATTAGAAACTGTGCGGGCGGCACAATTTCACTTCTTCGCGGAGAACGCGGCCAGAAAGAGCGTGACGAGCGCACGTGCGTGCGCGTAAAAAGTCAAGCTGGCGCTTGACTTCACCGGCAGATTAATATCCCGTATAGTTGACACTGAAATGTTAGATACGGCAATTGTAACACTTTTTTATCGCGAGAAACTTTATTACATGTTCTCCAGAAAATTATTATTATATTATTATTATATTATTATTATATTAGTTAATTATTATGACATTACTAGTCAATTATTATTATATTAGCAACGAAACACGCATTGATTTTTATCCGGTTACTGACATAGTTATTGCAACACTCTTTCCCGCCTCCGAAATCCACTTCCTCAGTCAAATGTTGATTTAATCGATCAATAATTAACATGAAACATTCCGTCTCTTCGTGTTGCAGAGACACGACATTGAACGGCTACGCGATACCAGCTGGTACCCAAATAGTGCCGCTGTTGCACGCGGTGCACATGGACCCGAAACTCTGGGATGAGCCTGAGGTCTTTCGACCATCCCGTTTCCTCTCCAGCGAGGGTAAGATTTGCAAGCCGGAATACTTCATGCCGTTCGGAGTCGGTAGACGAATGTGTCTGGGCGAAGTACTGGCGCGCATGGAGATCTTCCTGTTCTTCGGCTCGCTGATGCACACCTTCGATCTGAGTCTGCCCGAAGGCGCCTCGTTGCCGAGTCTGCGGGGCAATGCCGGTATCACGATATCCCCGGACCCCTTCAAGGTTTGCTTCCTACAGAGGGACTTCAATGTGGAATGCGGCAGTAACGAGGTCACCACCGGCGGTCCTTTACGTAACGTCGGCAGCCATTAAGCTTGTTCAGCGGGCTCCAGAACCATGGGCACGGTAGTTGTTCCTATTGCCGCACAAAGATCGAACAAAGAGAGATTTTGCGCCACGGGATCATCCATTCACGCGCGCATCGGCCGAGGTGGACTCCCATAAGGTTGTCTGATTGTTTGCTATTATTGGAGAACGATCGAGAATTTTTATGCTAAATTTTATAATCGCGATTTAGTACTCATTTCGATTTTAGTACTCATTTCATTTTAAATAAGAATACAATTTCGTGGACTTATTCCATTTATAAGAATATCTAGGAGAGAGCATTTTTAGTTTTATCAAAATACTTATATATATATATATATATATATATATATATATATATATATATATAATATATTATATCTATTCTAGTTTTTAAAAACTGGGAATTCTTCTCAGAAAGAGAACCGTTACATCGATCGTCTTCCGATATCTAAAGTAATCTTTCTAGTATATGATTTGAAGCGAATTGATGCCTCCGAAAAAAAAATGGATTACGAGATCAAAAAGGACTAATTGTAAGAGATAAAGATGGACTAAATGATAGATAAGAGAAAATTAGTAAGTTAGATATAAAGAGAAAAAGTTAGGTTTTTGAGCGTATTTCGATATTGCTCGATGTGCTCGTGTCGCTTAATTTGATACGGTGAGATCTTATATGACTCTAGTTCTAATTATTAAATTTATCCACTATTAACAAATATATTTTTTTATAATTTTTATTATTTTTATAAAATCCAGGTCTTTTAGAAAGTTTCACTAATCATTTTTATTTGAATTTTTAATTCCATAGACACACATGATCTCGCCATACTAGAAGCGTAGCTTCTTTTCATTACGTAAAATTTAAAAAATTTTATTCATTACGCAAAATTTGAAAAATTTTAATTCAAAGAAAGTTTCTAAAGAAAAAAAATTGTCAACCATGGTATCGCGAGCATCGAAATATTTTCAGAGACAAATTGGATTGTGATAAATTATTACAATCCAATTACAATTGTTACAATGTTAAAAATCCCATTAGAATTATTACAATGTTAAAAATTTCAAACAATCATCTTATCGACGCCGAGACCATAAGAATAATGATTAACACGTTTGGCTGCAAAAGTGTAACTTCTTTGGAAAGCAGTATAAACAGAAATCGATCGGATAATCGAAGGGAAACGAGAATCCTCCTCGGGTAAGGCTTAGAGTACAAAAGGAGTTTACAGTTCGAATCATCTCTCCCTACCTCCTCTCCTACGTCTGGCCAATTTTCACCCGCTCCGATTTTTCGATAGTCTCTATGAGTATTTATTGTTTTGCGAATGTTACTTTGCCCCGTTTTCCCTTCCTCCCCAGGCCTCGTATTTATTAGCTTAATTTAAATCGGCGAAATCGACGCGTGTTCGATTTATCAAACGATTTCGACAACAATTTTGTGTCTCATGAGAGTAAACGAGCGTTAATCCCGTTACAATACAATCGTTTCTAATCAGAGGTATCTCAGAGAGATATCTCAGCTATCGCGCTTTGTCATTCGTTTTAAGTATTCCGATCTTAACACACCGTCGATTTGCCGTAGATCTCCGATGTGGATGAACGAGGATGACGACGATTTAATGCCCCTCTTTCATCTACGATAACGATAATGATCCGCTATTAAGATAGAAAAAAATAGTGATTAAAGAAAGAGTGCGAGAGTGAGAGAGAGAGAAAGAGCAACACATACACACAAACATACACACACATAACCGACATGTATGTAAATAAATTCACAATTGAGCGTAAGTGCGTTAGCGTGTATTTAGCGTGTATTTAGCGTGTATTTAGCGTGTGTGCGTATATTTAATGATATATATATATAGCTGGTCGACGTGCCGTTTGACGAGAATGCGAGACTGCCCTTGTATCCGAGACGACTCGCGCCAAAATATCGCGATTTCGTCGACTTTTCTAGCGATTAACGAGCGGGCTGTGCGTCGGCGCCGATGTGAATCGGCCGAGAGCGATTTTCGTGAAAGTCGCCATGAGATTCCGCCGTTGCGACATCCACCGCGACGTGGCGATCGTTTGGAAATAGACTGAACGGAGCATCGATCGATGGAGCGATGATCGCCCATTTCATTTTTTTTCTGTTCGAGCGCGAGCGCGGGCTGAGGCTGTGAATCCAAGAGATCCGGGATGTACGGTCGACGATTCATTGTGACGTCGTCTCAGTCCGATTTCCCAAAGGTATCCCAGGCTGTGCATCCTAGAAACGGCAAAGAGCGCGCGGCGGTATCGCTGTATCCAGTCGTTTCTCTGCCAAAGTCTAGAGGAACTCGAGTCCGAGAAACCTCCGAGATGCTACCCTTTTATAGTCGATATGACTGACGGATTCTCTCCCAGCATACGGGATCCAATATGTCGCGCGCAGAGTAATTTTCTTCGCCCGAGTTATCCGGTAGGACGTTAATTAATCTTAGCACGTAGCACGCATGAATTGCAGAATGCCGCATTGTGTTCACCCGTCGACCTGTGTTATTTAATGTTTCTTTTTTTTCTATGAAATAAAGATGTTTTGCAGTTGACATTATCGATCCAATGCCCGATTTGTTCCTAACAATCCAAATCGCATCGCTCCCCATGTAAGAAAACTCATTTCAGGGATTCCGAAGAGAAAGAAAAGGAAAGAGAGAGAGAGAGAGAGGGAAAAATATTTCAAGAAGTCGAATTTTTCATCGATCGCTCTCGCGAAAAATTTCAACTGAAAACTGCAGCCTCGAGAACCGGATTCTTAAAGATGAGTAAAAAAAACTTCTCTGGTTCCTCAGCTGCACCATCGGCCTTCGATTCTGATCTCTGTGATCGCGCGCTCATCCCTTCCTGCCGCTCAATATTTCGAGGATTCTTGGCTTGGGGTCTACGAAAGAGGACTGAGCTGGGCCTAGCTTTCTCTTCCACTGGTCCGTTCGGTATTCTCGCATTTGGTAGTACACTTTTTTCCAATTTATACAACCAGGCAGTCCGCGATGCTGTAGCTAAAAATAGTCACGAATAGATACAATCCTGCTGATATAGCGAGTTTGACCGGGTGATTAAAGAGAAGGCTAGTGTCCAATTAGAAAAAGAAATATTGTCAAGATATTGTCAGATTATTTACGAAAGCTCTTTCTAAATTTCTGATTAATAATTTTAAATCAAAGATTCATATTTCTAGAATATTATACAAAATCAATTGGCTGACTTTTCGATCAAATCTAATATCTTTACAATAAAATTTCTCACTCCAGCAATAGTAGAGCTTTCAGAAATTCTTCAAATTTACATGCAAATTAATTTATAGATCTAACTGTGTAACTTCGAGTTTACTCGCGCAGATATACGAACGGGATAATAAAATTCGCGGAGCATCGCGGCAGGCAAAAGCAAGAGACGAACGCTTCGCGCGCTTACATAAGAGAAACTCGCGCGCTCTGAGTTTCTAACGAAATATCGTCGCCGGGTACACATTACGCCCGTAAAGTAAGGTTAATGACACGAAAGTCAAGTGGCCCCAAACCGCACACAAGTTACGTAAGGTCAGCTCAGCCGGCTGTCAGCACGTCCCGGGACGCACATTGTAATAATGGCGCGTTTCCTGCAGTATACGTGCATGCGAGAACGCAGATAGGTATCCCAGGTGCGTTGGTGCGCCATGTGCAACCGTAACTGTTGTTGCTGGCCCACTAATAGGGCCTTCATACTTTATGTTTTCGTATATATGTCACTTTTCGTGGTCTTCTCGTCGCCCAAAAAGTCGGTCGAGTAGCCAACCGGCTGCCGCATATAATGAAGACGGAAAGTTTGAAGAACCTTTGCTTCAAGGCTTGGCTCAATGAAGCAGGAAGAGGCGTTTTGTGGCTTTTTTTACTGCCCAGCACAAAGTTGAAAGTGTGTTGATAGAGCAACTTCTTTTTATAGCTCGGTTCGCTTGAGTTTCCTCATCTCTCTTTTGATTAAAGTGGCATTGGGCCATCGCGATGTATTAAGAAGCACTAAGTCGGCTGTGATTGTTCTCAGAATATAAATTGATTGCCATTTGTCGTTTATTATCATTCATTAGATTTTTGCGTATATTATTAGTCAACCTATAGAACACTTGCTCAAATTATAAACTTTTTATCTATTATACTACTTTTTTTAATTATCTATTCGATTATAATATTTATGGTGTGGATTATTATATAAACAATTGACTCACCACATTTTTCACTGAAAGTGATTAATTTTTTAATCATTTCCGAATACTTTGTCGAAACTAAAGCAAAAAATTTAATCCCCTCTTTGTATATGATAAGAATATAATTAATTTAAATCAGAAGATATCTCCCTATCACAGGCAAGGTGTAAGATTAATTTTTTATAAGATCTTTTACAAGTAAATTTTGCATTGATTGCATAATTTTACATGTTGTTCATCTCGTCAAGCATTTTACTGACATTTAAAATGCATGAATATGTTAACATGGTAAGAAACAGGATGAGACCTTCGAATGCACTCGTCGTTCATTTCGAGAGCCTCGACCTTTTCTCTTCTCCTTGACTACAAAGAGTCGAAATTCTTAGTTTCTTGTTTTTTTATTTCTCTATATTCTGTAGCGGTTTTGCGTGCCCCGACAATTAATAGAAGGAAACGCAGCGATTTCGGTACCTTGTGGTGAACGGTGCGCTCTTATAATTTATCCAAGGCCACTACATTGGGAAGAAAAAAATGCGCGTTGCATAACGATGACGGAATTTCACGAATCCGATGCAAGATGTGCGAGAAAAAAAGAGAGAGAGAGAGAGAGAAAGAGAAGGAGCGAAGCGAAGGGGCGCGCATGCGATTTATGTAAAATCATCTCCCAATAATCCGTGATCGTGGTTGACATTTTAATTTTAACAGCATATGATTCTATAGTGATATTACGCACATATTGGTAGTAAATATGAGCAGATATAAAATAACAGTCGCGAGATGCGTGCTCTCCATTTTCATAGGGTGGAATATTTTTTCGCGACTCGCCTTGTGCCTTATTGCATGCTTTAATAAAAACACTTGTTTTTTCTTACATCGATATGCCGAAATATTTGGCGATGGCGAAATATTTAACTGCCGAGGTTATCGCAATCAGGTTATAAACCGGCACGCGAATATCTGACATCTTGCGCGACGTTAGCTACCGATCTTATTAATATCTGCCTTGTGAAAAACGTATATGTTGATATAAAAGTTTGGCATGCAACTTGTTGCAAGTAAACAGGCAAAAGAGCAGATAATCAGAGAGTGATATATAAAATTAATTAAAATCATGAATTTCAGCAATCTTTCTCGCAGTTTGTTATGATTTGATAAAAAGCTTTAATTTTCAGGAAAGAGGAAGATAAAATAAAACCCTGATTTTTAATAAATTTTACTGACGTAATATGAAGCGATTGTATGCATAATAATATTTAAATTATTGATATAATTAACATAAATCCAATCGAACATATTTTACGTAAGACTCATATTATCAGAACTATAAATAAATATATAGAATAATAAATTTATAGAATAATAAATTTATAGAAAAAAGCTTAATAATAAATTAATGTATAACAATTTATAATAGCAGAATGCTCTGTGAAAAAAATATTATCATTTATTTTAATCGTATTTTTGCATGAATGCTACATTATATATATATATATAAAATGCGTATGTATATATTTATATGAAATAAAGATATATTTAAAAGTACTTTTAAACATATAGTTAATTTTATATATGTATAATTTGTAATATTAATAAGTATAAAAAAATATTATTATATGTAAATTTATTTTCGCAGCGTGAAAACCAACCGATGCGGTCTTGGAACCAGAGTAATTCCGCATTCGCCTTCCAGATCGATGTGTGTATCGGGTGGTACAGATATAACAAATGTGCGAAGAATTCTCGCACAAAAGAGAAATAATATCATCTTGGCGAATTCGTCACCGATGCACATACGCTTACCTTAAAATTGTGAATGAAACGCAAACATACATGTTTTATTTTATATTTTTAAACGAAACGCTGTCGATCTTGCATTTCGCGTTCAAGTTCTTACCCGCTTGAAAAGGTAAAAAAGCTTTCGGTTTGGCAAGACTTCCATCTTCAGCGATAAATCTTTCGGGTTTAAAAGAGAGCGGATCGTGCCAATATGAAGGATCCGTATGAATAGCCCACTGCAGCGGAACAATCATGGTATCTTTCGGTATGTCATAATCGCCTATTTGCGTGTCCTGGATGTAAATTGGCTCGCATGAATTTATTTCAATTTTTATATGCAAATTTCACAAAAACATGAACCGCGATTTTATTATCGATATTAGACGATAACAAAGATATATCTTTGATTTGCAAATAATATAATTATAAATAAATAAACAAATATATTTGATTTTACAAAATAAATAAATGATGTACAAAAAATTATTTAATTTTTACCTCGATTGTCCCATGAGGAATGCCAAGCGGTGTAACGCTTCGCAATCTTTGTGTCTCCGCAATTGCAGCTTCCAGTCGAATTAAAACAAGTCTGTCCTCCAAACTGGACGGCTTTTGTCCCAACAGTTCGTTCATTTCATCGTAAATTTTTTTCTACGTAAATAAAGACATAAAATTTGAAAAAATCGTACAACGGATCAAGATTCTGCGTCAGAAATCATGCAGACATGACATTTATATTTAAAAGTATCTTTTTGAGAAACTTTTGAGAAGAAATAAACATACTTGCTCGACTGGATGTATCGCCATGAAGAGCAGAAACCAACGAAGAGTCGTAAGGGTCGTATCGGTGCCTGCGCCAAAAAGATCGGCCAATAAATGATGAAACTGAGTTTGCGTAAAGTATCCGGGATCGTCCGCATTGTTTCTCATTACATCGTCGAAAGCCGCAAGAAAATTATCCGTCTTTTCAAGCCGAGCACGATGCTCATCGATAAACGTTTGATATATTTGATGCGTTTTCCGTTGTCCATCGATAAGGGACGTTTTTATTTTTCCATATCGTGGTAAAAATCTGTACGACCCAGAAAGCCCAACAAAGGAATTCTTTATTTATTCCTGAAAAAGTCTCTCATATATATTAATTTAAATTAACATCTACATTTTTAAACGCAAATATAACTTTTTTTCATCATTCATTTGAATCAGCTGAACATTTTTAAATATATTTTATACAAATATATATAACTATAAAAATTATTTGTTTCTATAATATAATGAATTTATATTCCTTTTTAAATAAAATAAATGATATGTATGAGAATCTTGAAAATAACGAATATATTAAGAATACAATCGTTGTAATATCGATAGCGTAATTATATGAAGCCTTTACAATTCGCATATTAATCTTTGTTAGAATAAGCTAATTTGATTTTATAATTATAACCTTTTATTGAAAGCGTACTTTAACAATCTTTCTGATTTAGCTTATGTAAATTTAACTAGCACGAGTGAAATTGTTCTTTGCGCTATCTTTCTTTACAAAGATTTGTATTTACTCTTCTAGATGGGTATTTAGTTCAATTTATCATGTCGTTTGCATAAAAAAGAATCGTCTATCTTTCCATGTTTATCGCTCGAGAGCCACCGTCTTCGATAAAAAACATGACATTTGCATGATAGACGTTGAATGAATCATAGCCGCATCATCGTGTTAATTGATCGTGCGGATCAATTCGCTTGATCTTTTTCTGCGCGATAATGCGGTTTACCTTTCGTTAGCAAGGTGTAAAACATCGCGCGTTATGAAAATATGCAGTCATCGGATCATACACGTCGATCATACACGTCGATCGGAAGGATCTTCGAAGGATCTTTATCAGGGATAGCGTCGTACCTGAGGAATGGCAAAAAGTTGAGCGGGCCTGCGACACCGATATGCTTGACTCCTTCCTCCTGCATATATCTCAACCACTTCCACACCTCGTCGTCTTCCTTGTAAACTTTACCGAATACGAGATCGTTCATCATATTGCCCACGCAGTGATGAAGTGTCTCCAGCGGATCGATACCATCCTCCGTAGCGCGATCTTTTAATTTCTGAAGGATCGAGATGAGAAATTTCTATCTGTTTCGTTCTCCGTTAATCAGGAATTAATATAAAACACTTTTAAGCCACGCGCTCTCGCGTATTTTATAAAGTATTACACTTGTGCCTAATACACTGAGAAAATAATCTGGTTGTATTAATTAGAATTCTGCTAGATTCAATCAGTATGTCTGTTGGAAAGTGGACGAACCAGAATTTTTGTAGGAACCAGATGAATCTGATTAATTTCTTCCTGTTAAATTTACCAAATTTTCTAATTAATACTAAACTCGCACCAGCACCAAGTCGTCTAAAATTTTTTCCATCTAATCTCAAAAGTCTGTTTAATATTCTGAATTCCAACAAGATTATTGGATAAATTCAATCCAGATTATTGAATGAATTATTTTAAATTCAGTTTGTTAGAAATTAAACTGTGATAAACAGTGATGCAAGAAGATGCAGCTCAAACACACACAATCAGAGAGCTAGCGTCCTCTTTCTGGCATTACTGCTCGTAAGAAAAAAAAATATACTTTAGATTTAATGTTAATACTAGTTTTTTATATACATTTCATGGCAAATATTGAATATGAATTAAGTTAAGAATGGCTCGTCGCCTAGCGGCAAGCAAAGAAATTAATGCAAGAAATTTTATAGATCCAACCAGAAAATACTAATCAAATCCTTGTAAATCCTAGTAAAATCTATTAAACGTTCTAGTTATAAAAAATCGAATCTTATTATGATAACTAGAAATTCTTATTTAATTTAACCAAAATGCCTTCAATCATATACGTCTTGTTGGTAGAATTAAACGATTTTTCTCAGTGTAATGCAATGAATGATCGAGTAGTTTTTTTTAATGTTATAGCAACGGTTTTTACATTTAAATTCTTAATTGCCATCATTGATAGCATGTCGAAATGTCACAGAAATTAATAGCTTCATTAAATGCAATGACATTTCCAGATAAACAAATCGTAACTTGCATAAGAATTTGTGTTAATCCGCTTTTCAATATTCCTTCTGGAATAAAATGTTTAGTCATCGATATAATATCCGTTTAGGGTAAATATCGTAGATTTACACGACACGACGGCCTCGCGTGAAACATTTATGAATAATATAGTTTAACTAGACTTGGCAACGCCTTTGAGCGCTAAATTACCGATATGCATTCGTTCACGGCTGTGAGAATCCTTGTCTCCATCCTGTCCCTTTTAAAGCTGGGTAATTTCATAATACCGAAATTCTTCAGACATCCTGCTACGAATTTTCGCTGGTCCTTCCAAAGATCACCCTCAGCACAAATGATGCCTGCGGAGCACAGATAAAGAAACGGAGAGGTGAGAATTTTGTGTTCAAGTCCTTTTTTTTCTTTTTCTTTTATCTTTTTTTTTCTTCTTTGGATGATCGCACCTTAATCGCAGGGATCATAAATAATGCGTCCGGACGCGTTTCTCATGCCTTTCTGCGTGAAACAAGCCGCGCTCTTGAGGATGAAAAAAATAACACAGAGGATTATTGTCATTCCGTAAGTAGGCGCAGCCACCGAACTCATCGAAGGATAATCCTCGAATGAATAAACAATAATCTCTCACTATAGCCATTCGAAATTACGTCCCTCCCTTCGGTATATTCATAAAGACAGCTACGACGATGATCGATTATTAATAGCGATCGGGATTGCTGATTAAGCACGACGGCCAGAGCGATAAAGCGTTCATTAACGCTGTTTATCGTTCGATTTCTTTTGCATTTTTCTGACATCTATTACATCTGTTTTTCTTCCACCTGCACATTTCTTTTTCCTATTGATATTATATTATTAATAATAAAATTGATTATATTATTAATAAATATATTAATTTTTTTCTGTTTCTTCCATCAATTTACATTCTTTCTCCAAATGTATTCATTTTCTATCATTTTTATTACATACCTATATGTCTCTTTTAGTAAATATATAAAGTGTAAAATTAAGCAACAATTCGATCGCTTGATATGAATAGATAAAATCACGACTATCGATTATACTTAATTAATCTGAATATTACATGATGTTTTTTCTTGCTGCAACGTTAAACAAGATTGAAATGAGCCACATTACGCTCTTTAAAGAGGTAATAGGAAACTTTGTGTTGCAAAATTTATGCATTTGCGCCGCGACAGTAAAGGTGTGTCGCTTATGTACATCCGATTTCGCAGCCAGATCACACGCGCGAGAATGATCTCGGAATCTTGATCATCGCTCAATGAGATTATCGAGGTTTACGGTCGAGGCGTCACGAGAATACAGATCGAGATCTCTGGTGTGCAATTTATCAGACGATATATATTGGATCGTAGTTTTTTATGTTGGGCGCGAATTGATATTTTTATCAATTATACGGGGAAAGAGGAACAGAAGAATATAAAGAAATGTTTAATCGCAGCTGCCAATGCGTGATTTTCGGAGAAATGAAAGCGAATTTTGAAGGAAAGACAACCATTTTCGCAAATTTACAATTCGTCATCGCACGCTTGAGCGTCAAGAGAAGAAGTAATGAAAGTATACGTCGGCGCGGGGTACAAATAGGTTATCGCATGATGAGTGTTTGCGATACTATTTATCATTCGCAGCTTGTTCTAAAAGGCAGCGCTGTCGATAGGTCAGTGTCGTATTTAAATGACGCCAAGAAAACTTTCCGGGATCGCGAGTACGCATTAATCTCTCTTCACTCTGGTCAATAGATCTCAAATCATCGAACAATGAAATCAAGAGAATTAAAAAATCTTAATTAAATTTTTTAACGAATAAACCTTATATTTTTTTAATCTCGTATAAATTTTATGTTTAAATTTTGCACCATATTTTTATTAAAAAACAAATGTCATATATATTATAGCTATCTATTTATTATTCGTTTATTTTTTTATAATTTATAATTGTGGTAGTTTTATACTTGTTTGTTGTATAGCTCACGACAAAAAATTTAATTTTATATTCAATTTTTTAAAATACTTTAATCTTTTGAGACACCAACTTTAAATCAGTTCAGGGAAGATTTAAATATATTCATTAATTGCATATTTTAATTATAAAAGAAACATATAAAGTCAAAAAAGAAATATTCTAGATATATGTATATAAAGTAAAGAAATATTCTAATATATATAAAGTCAAAAAAGAAATATTCTAGAGTAGAGCTTGCATTTCCTTGCTTTTTCAAGAATAATGTTGAATATTTTAGTAGCAATTTTTAGAAAGAGGGAAAGAGCACTAGGATAATAGTCTTCAAGGGAGAACTCATAAAGGAAAAAGTTTGCTTCAACTTTGCAGCTCGCATGCTACTTTTCATCTCTACGATGCATCCTACGAACAATGAAGTTCTCCTTGCCAGTCGAGCTTCTTACGCAACTAAACACCCCGCCGCGGGTGATTTCAAGGGATGACATCACTCGGTCTCTCGGGCACGGCACTCGTGGAGAGGAGCGCTCTTACCACGAATTCGCGAACCGCCAGAAATAAACCGGACGGCGGACGGATAATGCATACATGCGTCCGAACGTTTCAGGGCCGGTCATTCCACTTCGGCTGGCAAAAAGTCCGACGAATGCAGCAGAAGGCGACGCGCGATAGTCGTCCTGTCCAAATACAGCCGACCGATCGATCGATCGCCGTTTTATGGCACGATCATTAAAATACCGGGATATGGCGCTGTCGATCGCATACTCAAAGTGCTGCGACTGTTCGATAATAATTCGTAGTGAATCCTCGAATTATGCGCAAGATTCCTGAGGACGATCTATGAGAGAGAAGAGAGATTAAAAAGATTTTGCCTTTCATTAAAGCATGCATTTCGCAATACATGTTATATTCATCTATACCGCTCGTGAAGACTTAACAACGTCTTTACAGTTGATTACAAATGATTTTCCGATTGCAAAATTTGACAGATAAATCGAAGCGTACGATAATTGTGAAAGATTGTAATGGCTCCTCGATAAATATTGAATAGCAATAGCTTGAAAATTGCTCTTTAAAAATCAGAAAATTATTGAGGAATAATTTTTCTCCTACTATTATTGAGATAAAGCTAATCGTGCAATGTTATTAAATAAATAAGTGAATAGATGTGTCAATTCTTTTAAACACATTTCGGAAAATCATTCTGTTTCAACGAGGGAGTCTACTGATCGACTCTGTACTTTGCTTATTAATCAATCTTTTTCATCAGTAGCAATCGTCAACTGTCAAATATCGCTCTTTTGACACTGGAAAATTGTTGCTGCAATTTTCTTTTGTGAAATATTATACACATTTCGATTAATATTGTAAGTTGAAAAATTTCGAATAATCATCGAGAGACAATCTATCGGGAACGCGGGTCGTGACAAGTCGATGATGATGATGCGAACGGTCTTCGTTCATACAATCCGTCGCTCTTAACGGGAGAGGCCGTCGGCCCGTCCTTGCGAAGCTAACTGTAATTCCCCACGGATGCAGAGCAAAACTGTCGACGACCGGGAGAACTTCCTTCAAGGAGACCGATATAAAAGTGAGAGTCCTTCGCATCTGTGCGATGCGGCCGGTCCCAGGTTTACTCGAACGTGCCTAACCTATCCAATCGCGAATAAGCCACTCATTACGAAAACAGGAAAAAAGATTGATGTATCCTGAGCCAGCAGTGTGTAACTATTCAAAAAAATTCATCTTGCAATTGCAGCAACAATTTTCTAAAGAAATTAATCGAAATAAATAAATGCTTAGCAAATACAGCAATATTGCGTATGTTTTAAACTTAATCGATCTAAATGACAAGATAAAATTTGGTATGATAGAAAAATCATTTTTAAAGATCATTCCAACTATAGTATGGAAATTCATATTTATTCAAATGGAATAATTAATATTGAATGGGACCTAAATTTTTGCCAAAAAATATTAACTAGAATTTGCTGCTATAAATTCTACATGTTACATGTAAATTATATTCTACAAAATATAGCGGTAAATTTTTATTGAGACATTTAGAAATCTACTTACATCAGCAAAACATTTCCTTGAGTGTCTTCTTCGAAAATATTTTTTCGTTTTTTGGAAAACAATTTTAGAACACTAACAAATAAATTTCTTTCAATCTTCTGAAAACTGTTTACAAGTTACAGTTGAATATATTGTAGTTTTGCAACGATAAAAGATGTATAAACGATAGATAGCGTGAATAATTATGTAGAATAAAAAAAAACGATACAAGGATACTGCGTACTAGGAGCAGGATCGGCATGTGAGGGGAAAAATTGAATTCCACCCACACCCACTCTCCCGCGCTTGAAAGAGGAAAACAAGTCGTTGGGAAAATCGCGGACATCTTACGTCAGTGTTACGCGTTTGTAATAAGCTAAACGGAATACGAATAGTCGCTCGTGTGTATGGAAGCTCGGCTCGTAACGCTTATTTTACACGCGCGCTTCTGACCGCATCGTTGAGTCAGTGCTGAGGTATGCCAAGTGCGATTGAAACTGCGACTTTTCTATAACTGATTGTAAATGAGATTGTTAATCATCGTCTATACGTGAATATTCGCGTCTGCTTACTCAATTGATTTTTTTTTCGAATTTATATAAAAATTATCTGCACATGTGTGCAATTGAATTAAAAATCTATCAGCTTTTTTTGCACACATCAATTTAATAATTTAACTTAATTGAGAAATTTATAATGAGAGAGAAAAGAAATCCTTGATGATTAATATTCTTCTTAATAAATAATGAACAGAAAAATGGTATTTGAAGATGTCAATCAGACTATCGTCATTTTTCAATATAATGTGTTTGTATAATTTAATAATGATTAACTCTTGTATCTTCGATGATATCAAAAGATTTTAATCAGACTATCATCATTTTTCCACAATATAATGTGTTTGTATATTTTAACAATGATTAACTCTTGTATCTTTGATAACATCACAAAAGAGATAAGTCAAGCAAATTAAATATATAATATCTTGCTGGGTTTTATTGGCCTTGTGTTCATCAAAGAAGAATCAACAATGGTACTTGAATACTTTTGGTGGAGATGGCGAAAACTTAATCGTCCTCATCGAATCCTATCGAACGATTCTAAAATAAATCGCGATACAAAAGTGAATCGTGAACAGAATGATCTTTTTTTTCTATCAGCTGAAATTAGCAATATACTGCCGCTCGCGTGTGGCAGCGGCAACATCAAGGACGTCGAGAATTTCAGGTTTCGTCGACCCGCTTAAAGGCCAACGCCGTCGCATCGTCCAGACACTTTTGACGATCACCGCCATGCAGGTCGATGCACC